ATGGCGGCGCGCGGGCGCAGACGCGGGCCGACCCTCCGCGCTGTCCGGTAGGGATGCAGGCTGGGTGGCACAAGCAGTTCCTCCCTGCGAGGGGCGGAGCAGGTTTCCCTCTGCTGGTCTCGCGCTCAGCAAGATTGAAATCCTCTTGACCCTGGTGCTGTCCCGGCTCTCAGTTCTGTCTCCAATGAGAAAATTACATTTTTTCAGCGCCACGGGCATGGGACTGTGATTCCAGCACTCAGGAGAATGAGGCAGAAGGATTACAGCGAGCTTGAGGGCACCTCGGAGTACCTAACCTAGCGAGACTGTCTCAAAACAAAAAACACAAGAGTAGGAGGCAGAGAGGTACCAGCCCTTGCTCCAGAATAGGAAACAGGTGCGAGAGGTTCCGGGCGGTGACACCATTAGTGGCAATGCCTGGGCAGTTAGATCAGACGCCAGACCCCACATTTTTGCTTTTGCGGTACTGAAGATTGAATCCATAGCCTCCACACACAGCGACATCTCCAGCCCTTTTTTAATTTTTGAGACCGGATCTAGCTAAATCACCAGGCTGTATTTGAACTTGCCATACTCCTGCCTCAGCCTCCCTGAGTTCTGGGATGACAGCCTATGCCACCACGCGGGGCCTGAAACATTGGCCTCCCCAGGCCTCCTGGGGTGAAGGTGGAGCTGGGCTAGAGAGGGTTTACCTGGCAGGCGCTAATCCCTGGGTTAGAATCCCAGCTCTGCAAAATAAAGGGGGGGAGGGGTTTCAGAGATTTAGCTCAGTGGTGCCACCGCCTGCCTCGCAAGCGCAACTGCAAGGACCCAAGTTTGAGCCCTGGTACCAAAAAAAAAGAAAAAGAAATAAATTGGAGCCAATTATTTTTCAGTTGTGCAGTAACCAAATCTGCACTAGGAAAGCTGGTCTGCGTGCGGCTGGGCAGGTTTGTGTCAGGCTTCTGGCTTCTTAGCCCCCCCACCAAGGCCTGCTGCAAATGAGCTCCGGATCCTTGGCCCTCAGGGCTGTGTTATGTCCTGTACAGGCTGTTGACCTTTACAGGCTGGGACAGCAGCAAGGCTTCGGCCCCAGAGAGGACCCTAATTGTTAGCTGGACTATGCCATCAGCAGGATGGGAGAAAGGGAAGAATTCAGGCCTGGAGTGGCTGAAAAATCAAATGCATGAGCGTCACCCCTTGCATGATCTGTTGGGCTGCTTGTGACCTCCAGAAACATGTTACATAGGGCCCAAATGAATGCTTAAGAAGACCTCACAGGGAAGCCAGTCTTATGCCCTGTATAGATTCACCAGTCAACTGTCAACCTGGAATTTGAACCCAAATCCTTGCGAATTCCAAAGTGATTTTTCTCCTGACTTCGCTACTTGTTACAGCTACTGTGGAGGCTGAGGCAGGAGGATTAATTGACTTGGATATTTTTATTTATTTACAAAGGGGTGATGGAAACATGCAAGGCAAGAGCTTTTTGTTTTTTTATTTTTTGTGGTGCTGGGGATCAAACCCAGGGCCTTGTGCATGCAAGGAAAGAGCTCTACCACTGAGTCACATCCCCAGCCCCAACATGGTGAATGTTTAAAGTAAAAAATATTATTACTGCAAAAGACATACTAAGAAGGATGGGATACGTGTGTTGGAAGCAAGGAGGAGTATTTTGAGGGAGATTCGTGTCTTTCACTGTAATCAATACTTTACTTTATGCTTCATTTATTCCCATGCTACAAGTGTTTTTCTTCAGTTTCTTCTGGGACATCTTTTATCTTATAGGCAGTTTCCTTCTCTATTTTGGAAACAGTTTGATAGTGGGTGAATCTGATTATGAGTGCTGTTGGCTAGCAGTATATCTTGGGTACCTTGCTTACCTGGATGTGTTCAATGACCAGAGTATCTACATCTAAACCCTTCAAGTCAGTGTTACTCTCTGAATTTTTAAGCATGTGCATAAAAAATCTAGCAGTTTTTGGACCACTGTGTTCTGGTCATGGCTGCCACCCCACCACTGTCATGCTGGAGAGCACCTGGTACCTCTTCAGAGGGCACCCTTCAGGCACAGATGTCTTTGATGGCCTGGGGAGTTTCATCAGTGTTCTTAAAGTGAACATGAAGATGTGAACCTCTTCCTTTGTATGATTTTGTGGGATTTTCTGAGTCAAAAGTAGTGAACCATTTTCACAGGTCACCTCTGGCTGCTTACTGATAAATTTCTTAAAACATTCACTGTAGTGGCCAGGGATTTAGCTCAGTGGTTCTGCCACCTGCCTCGCAAGTGTAAGGACCTGAGTTTGATCCCTGGCA